ATTCCAATTGATTCAATCAAGAGTTTTAATATGACTTAAATAACCCATAATCAAATTATTATGGGCCGATGAGTTGGATTCAAGATTGATGGTTGGGGAGTGGATTGTGGTGGTTACTTCACAATAGTAGCTGCGTCGTTGTGGTTATGGAGGAGGAATGTGTTGCAAGATTCTTGAACTATGGAGACTCAAAGACTAAAATAAAAACAAGTAAATAAAAGAACTAATAAAGATAAGATAAGATAGAGAATTAAGCAAGTTAAAAATAGATGATGTGGCAAATGACATGGATTGTCATGTCATATGCCACATCAAATGGTGCCCGTAACATTATTGTTATAGATATAACGTGAAAGCGAATTCATCTTTCCGAATAGTATTTCCATTATTTCGATTGATTGCATGAATGACTGATATAGCAATAATATTATTCTTCTGCATTGACTCTTTTTCTTTGGAAAACAAATCCAAATTGTCAAGAATTCCATTTTTGCAAACTTTGCTTAATTTCATGCTGCCGCATGTCACATGCAATGAGTCACTTAATAAACAATAAGAAATAAAAAATAAAAAAAACCATCAATACGTGTAATTATTTGTTTGAATACAAAAATTCCATATACGTTTTCATGATCACGAAGCAAAGCGGCAGACCTTCACAATTTTTTCGCTGACATACTTGAAACTTTCACCACATGCAAATGCCATGCCCCAATAAGCCAGTCTTTCAGTAGAAGGAAAGCCCTCTAGAAGTTCCTAGTGATCTAGAGCAATTTAAAAGGGTGTTCAAATCAGATATTTCTTAAATCAGACGTTCCTACCAAAACAGAATTTCGGTCTGCAACCATACATACGATTTTTATTTTTTATTTTTTTTATTTTTTTATAAATATGCATTGAAGGAAAAGGAATGAATATTTGGCATGCATTTATGAGTGATCACATGCACGCCATAAATATTCAACCCTAACGAAGCAGCAGGGAATTCTTTACCCTTTCAAAAAAAAAAAAAAAGAGGGGTAAAAACCCTAATGGCATTTAAAGCTGCATCAATAAAAAACGGGTTCAAAAATCAAAACTGTGTTTCTCAAGGAGAGAGAGAAAGAGAGAGAGGAAGAGTAGCTAAAGGCAATATGAGGGGTTGGAAGAACTTGGGGATTGTTGAGACCATCTATGAAGAAGAAGACTATGAGTTCTCCTCCTCCTCTCCTTCTCTCTCCCCAGCCCTCTCTTCTCCTTGCACTCCTCTGCATTCTAGAGTAGAATCATGGTATTTCATCTCTCTTCTTTTCCTTTATTTACATATTTTCAAAATCTAGTTTTTATATATATATAGTTTTGTGTGTTTCTTAGGTCTCGGGCAACAGGGCACAAAGCAGAAGTATTGATTCGAGTTCAGGGAAAATGTTTCCACCTACACAAGGTTTGTCAATTATAAGTTTGATACTTCTTTTTTTTGATCTTGTGTGCCTTTTGTTAATTTTTTTACATGGATTTTTTTGTATTTTGAGAGATGGGTAAAAGAGGAAAAAAACGTGGCAGCCATTGGAGAGAAAAGGATGAAATTATGTTTATATTGGGTGTGGATACATTGTCCTCCTGCGAGGTTGAACAATTAGAATCTGAAATTGGGATGTTTGGCC